ATCCATGCCCATCAATCCATGCCATGCCCACCGATTCTCTCTGATTCGGGCGAACCAGTAGTGGCAGCTGTGGGAGGCTTTGCCCACTCACCCCAATGTAATGCATGAGCACTGCGCATGCACAGAAGGTGGTGTGCATGCGCAGATGTGGCCCGTGTGCTCACATTTGCGAACCGGTAGGGAAGGCAAGTGAATCCCACCTGCTAGGCATTAGGCAGCCCCGTCAGGTAGAATATACTAGGAAACCATCTCTGCAGGAAAGCTACTACTCATTTTATTGAAATGGCTGTAATAATAGTCTTGCAACATTGACTGGACTGCCCCTCCTCCCCCTTCTTATACTACACTCAGTTAGGAAGGTGTTGGCCTGAGATATTTTTAAACATTATCTCACTGCTCTTGAGTTAAAAACAAAACAAAACTTCATCCTCCTTTTTGCCCAAGCAAGACAGGGCCTGCATATCAGTGGTGGGATTCAAATAATTTAACAACCGGTTCTTTGCCCTAATGGCCAGCTGGGTAGGCGGGGCTCAATGGTCACGTGACTGGGTGGGTGCGGCCAATTTAACGTCACTCCCGTCGATGGGTGCTTCTCCTTAGCTCTTACAATGTAATCAGGGTTAACCAGAGAGACAATTTCTATAAGCAGGTCAACAAGGATGAGGCTAGAAACAACAGCAGAATGTTTCCTTCCTGCCTTCCTTTACAGGATTAGCCCTGTAAAGTGGGGAAAAACAAAAGGAGATTTCTTCCAACAACCGAACTGCCTGGAAAGTTACCAACCGGTTCTCCTGAATAGGTGCGAACCGGCTGAATCCCACCACTGCTGCATATCTAATCCAGGCCGTTTTCTTTACTGTAGAATTGGAGATAAATATGCTTCTATCTCGATGTATAAAAATGGATGTGTGACTTTTCTGCTTCCTTGATAGCATATCATTCAAGGAATTTTGGCTGTCCTTACTGTGTTCACCATCCTGGAGTTTTGCATCGCCATCTCTCTTGCGTCTTTTGGCTGTAAGATGCTTTGCCGAGATCCCTTCACTGAAACGGTAAGATTCCAAAGGAAGGTGGGTTAGTTCATCAAAGGAAACAAGATTCGGAAACACAGCTTGCCAACAAACCTAGATTCTTAGTTCATACATTGTACTAACTGTGCTGTAAAAGAAACAAAACAATAATTGGGCTTCCCACATTATGCTATCTTGCAAATCCTGAGTTATAAATAATGGTGATTGATTTTCATATTGTGATAAACCCAGGGGTGGGATTCAGCCAGTTTGGACCGGTTTGGGTGAACCAGTAGTTCTGTTGAGCATTTGGCCCTCCCTACCTGCCCCTGGGCTTTCCTGTCCTATATTTCCCTGTTTTTTTTTAGCTCAGCTGATTCGTACAGCATAGTGGATTGTCGCATGTGAGTTGTTTTACTCACAGGCTCTGACATAGAAGGTAAGTTTTGAAGCTTGAAAAGCTTCTTTTTTTGAATGCTGCATGCATGTGCAAAGCATGCATAAGACACTCACTGAACCGGTTGTTAAACTGGTTGCATCCCACCACTGGATAAACCTAAAGGAAACAAACCACCTTACTCGTCTCAGTGAGCCCATCCTGTATCTTTAATTGGCAGAGGAGGAAGTAATGTCCTCACCACCCACTTAAGACATGCTCAGATTTGCCTCGAACCGCAAATGGTTTGATAATAATGATTTAAAAAATGACAATAGGTACCACCTAATCTACACATGGTCCAGGCAACACTTCAGGTAGAATCCCCAAACATGTGTGAGAGCGTATAAAGCATTTCTTTCTGGGACTTGGGAGGCCATGCAAAACCAGAAAAGGATGCAGCTGCTTTAAAGAGAGGCAGCAATGTCTTTATGCTCCTGTGAGAATCCAGATTCCTCTTGGGAATGGAATGAAAAATGATTCATATCCTTATTTGAAACAAGGAGAGACAGAAGCATTTAACAGGCTGTTGGCAGGCTGAGAATTTCTATTCTGAGCTGTAGAGAGAAATGCATGCAAACAAATGGCTTAAAAAAATCTCACGATGTGTTTCTTTAGGTTGTGGTCATTTATCAGAATTCGACTCCTGCTAGTGCTGAGCATCCACCCATCGACTGCAAAGAGCCAGAATCCCTCTGAGTTGCTTTCCCTTCATAGCAGCTCTTCCTGACTGTATTGGCACCTGCAATATTGAAGCCTGAAGCTTTTTAAGGAATTGCATGGAACTTTTTACTCAGGGGAACATAAAAATCTTTAACGGGATAAGCAAGGCACCATGTTAAGTGGAAATATGAATGTTCTTTGTTGCTGGTTAAAATATTTCTGTATATGATGGTTGGCACCTGTACCAAGTTATGTTTTGCTGTTAGAAAATCACACAGTCGGTGGGTTTATGGAACATGTTACAGATAAACTCGAGTTTCCACAATACGATTGTTGTGTCCAGTGGTGGGTTTCAAAAATTGTTCGAACCTCTTCTGTAGGTGTAGCCTACTTTCTGGGTCCACTGGTGGAACCTCTTCTAACCGGTTCGGTAGATTTGACGAACTGGTTCTACTGAATAGGTACGAACTGGTAGGAACCCACCTCTGATGCCAATGCCAATGCCAATGC